TATTCTACTTTCCAGCTCTGTCGACTGGTGTGGGGTACACTACTTTTCAGCAGGAACCCTGGTGGTGGAGTAGGTTATGGGTTGGGTCTGCTCATCACAAAGGGAGCAGTTCAGAAACACCATCAGCTCTTCGGGAGAAAGATAAGACTTTCTACTCCCACAAAGATGTACGGAAATACAGAGGGAGTTCTCCTCTGTTCTATGAGTTGGAAAATATTAAGTGACAGTGAGTTTGAGTTTTGAGTATGAGAATTTATTTTTCTCACATTTAAAATCTGTTTAATGGTATTTTTCATTGTTATGAGGATTAACTGGGATAAGATAAAGTATCTCACACACCTCTGGACACATACCAAGTATTTAGTAATATTGTCATTTTGTCCTCCCTGTATCAAAATATTCTTTCTGTCTTTGTAAAAATACTCCTATCATTATGTCCACTCTTTTCCAATATCTTCAGTGAGTTCTCCTCCTCTCCCTGCATGCACAGACACTCTGTCGTCAAACACTTAGCCCTTCTCTTGTTTTCCCTGTCTCTTGAGGATCTTTCTCCTTTGCTCCAAGTTCCCCATATGCCGAAAATACTCACTGTTTCTCTCCCCTCGCTTAGCACTGCAGGTGTGCTTGATGTGCCTAATCATCTTTCCCGCTTTGGCTATCTAGAAAACATGTTGAACAAGATAAATAAAAAGCGAAGTACAACTTAATGTATTTTTTAATGTACATTTTTGTTTCCAATTAATAGTCATTAAACTAGGATCTTAGGTCCCACCTTCTACATATGCTTCTCACCTTTATTCAATTTTCTTTTTCTTTTTTTAAATTTTGTCTTTAAACTATTTGCATTTGCCCTCAGTCTTCCATTCGCACGGCTTAGGCTCCTTCTCTTGCTATGCTCTCTAACCTGTCCTTCGCATTTCCACCACGTGTATCTTTCTGCATATAAATCTATGATTATATCCCCCTTCTTCGTGTCCTACATCAAGCCTAGAGAAATGAAAATATATTTCCCATGCAAAGAATTACATAGCAAAGTTTATAGCAGCTTTATTCACAAGAACCTTAAACTGGAAATGACCCAAATATCTATCAGAAAGTACATGGATAAACAAAACATGGTAATCCATAAAATGTATGAGAGGAACTACAAAGGACTGAACTACGAATATGTGCACATACTATATGCTGAATGAATACAACATTCTAGAAAATCCAAAGTCACATATAATGACAAAAAAGAAAACCAAAAAACAGAATAGTCGTTGGCTGAAGCTGGACAAAGAGAGCCTTGGATTGCAAAGGGGCAGAAAGGATCTTTTGGGAGCGATTAAAATGATCGGTATCTTTATTCCGGTGACAGTTTTACTAGTTACAAGTTGTCAAAGCTCCTGAAAGGAACATTAAATGGATGTGGTTTATTGCGTGAACAGACTTGTACCGTGATATACTTGATTTGCAAATGCAAACTCTGACCGGGTGGGGCTCTCCTTCCCTGAGATGCAGGCCACCTTTCTCAGCGACCTGGTCACAATTTGCTTTTCTAGCCCCTTGAGCTTCTCCGTCTTGATGCGTGCTTTCCACTCCAGCTAGTCCACTTCATTGTGCTGCCTTCGATATGAATTCTACGCATCCATAGGAACTGTTCATTCTACAAGAATTGTTCTCCACCCAACTCCATGTCCCCTCTCGATAAAGCAAAAGTCACTGTGCACTCAAAGATGACGGCCCAGGCACCTCATCTATGAAACATTCCCTCACTTTTTGCTTCAAAATCATTTCCTTATGACTTAGTTTTAGTGCCTGTACTTCCCAAAGATAGGGATATCATTTATGAAACATGTACTCTTTTAATATTAAGTATAAAAATTAAAGAATTGACATGGCAATTAACAATGTCATTGCAAGAGTTTAGTTATATGGCTGCTTAAATTTGATATTACCAAGAAGTTACCAGTCTCTTCAATGTGGCCGAAAATAAACCAAGCTTATATAGAATGATGTATATGCCAGAATGCCAATTTCTTAATTTATAAAGTAGACCGTTTATTTCCAACAGAAAAAAGCATATTTGATGGATTTGTCTATTTTTAAGGGTTGGAAAATAATTAGGCTACCAAAGCTGCCGTCTGAAGGATGTTAGTGGACAGACTTGGAGCCGAGAGAGTGGCTTACATGTAAACTGTTTTGCCAAGCACTCATCTTTATGTAAACCACAGCACAATACGGTTCATTGGTTGTGTCTTTCCGTTGTCTCGGTATGATAGCTTTTATCCAGTAGCCATTCTATTTGTTTTGCAGCTGACCACTGTTGCTGTAATTTTTGCTATTCTGAACTTTGCTTCATCTTTCCTACAGGTTAGAAGGACTGTGATAAATTTTTAATCCATATTTTAAAGTTCTCTCTATAATCAGCCCTTTTCCCAATAGTAGTAGTAACAGTAGCCACCTGGTCTGGGGCACTAATAGAAGAATAGTGTCAGCAGGTGTAGAAGTAATGGTGAAATTGTGGCGGTCGGGTGCCATCAAGTTGGTTCTGATCCATAGCCAGCTGATGTGTAATGGCATGAACGCTGCCCAGTCCTGCAGCATCCACACAACCGTTCCTGTACTTGAACCCGTTGCTGCAGTCGAGGTGTTCATCCATCAACTTGAGGACCTTTCTCTCCTTTGTTCCCCCCTCTATTTTACCAAGCATGATGTCCTTCTCCAGGTACTGTTCCTTTCTCACACAAGGTCCGAAGTATGCAAGCCCAAGTCTCACCATCTTTGCCTCCAAGGAGCACTCTGGCCGTCCTTCTTCCAAGAAAGATTGGTTTATCCTGTTAGCAGTCATGGTACTTTCAATATTCTTCTCCAGCACCGCAATTCGAATCTTCTTCATCGATTCTTATTTATTCAGTGTCAACTTTCACATCCTATAAGACAATTGAAAATACCATGGATTGGGTCTGGAAGCCAAGTCACTGGTAGAGCATCACAGCGACACACAAGCCACCAGAGTATGACAAGGGCACAGACAAGTGGTAGTAATGGTAAAACAAGAGTATGATAATGAAAGAAAAAAATGTTTACCGAGTGCTGCAACTCATTTGCATGAGCTATATTACACTGTCCTGTCAATAATCCTAAAAACATAGGTACGATTGTGATTCTCACATTACAGCTAGCGAAGCAAACACAGAAGAATTTACTAAGTTTAAAATCCCAGATGTGGCAGGTGGTCGGCTGAATTTTAAACAGGTAGTTGTAGTCCTGCTTGTTGAGCAGATCAATGGATAGGCCACCTCCGAAGAGCAGGCAGGATGCAATGGGTCTGTGGTTTAGGTGTTTTCAAATAGGAAATTCCGACATAGAAATATAAGAGAATTTTAAAGAATGCATTTAGACATGTAGACTAGCAATAATAACACAAGAATCACCTAAGGGTTGTGGCAAGCATTAAATACGAATCATAACACGTTAATGCATATTAAATGATAATACACGTGAATTATTTTAACCATGATTAGACTTAGTTTAGCATGAAAGCATCACTGGGTCTCACAAATGTTTTTATGGTCTGTAAAGAAAGAGACAATAAACATAGTACTTCAGATGTTCTTACGTGAGAACTTCAGCTAAACAGTTGTGTCGTTTGGAAATAGAACTACAGTTTTGATCTTTTGACAAGTCTGTTCACCACTCTATGAGCTATCATATTTGCATTTAAAGATGACATTTTGCCTTGATTTTTTTCCCTGATGAGTACAGTGACTTTTATGGGAAGGAATGCATAGAGGGTTAGAAAACGGTGGAAGCAAATGTTCTCACCTAGTTGCTGACACGGGGAAGGGGAGGAAACGGCTTCTTTTCCTGGAACCTTATCTCATAGAGAGATCCTTTTATTTGGGGGAGGTTTGAGCAGATATTCCTCGGTCATTTTGTAGGGAATTTTTTAATTGGCGTTATCTCCAAAGACGGAGCGATTGCTGTTGGAAAGTTTTGCTGATTTGTGTTGGAATCCTTTGAGAACACACAGGCTCGTTTCAGTATTTCTTAAAGTACTGCTTCTGTTTTATGTGAAACACTATTGTTTTCCTCTGTAGGTGTGATAAAAGTGATGAGGGGTTTCCAAGTTTGGAATGACCAGGATAATAAGAATGAAGTCCTTTCTCGGAAGGAATTTCTTCTGTACCTCCATGTGCTAGGATAGGTTTTCTTTCAGTCCTGTTGGAAGAATTCCTATCCAATGTGTTGTTGGTAACCACCCCAGCCGCTTTCTTTATATCTGTCTCTACATAGCAGTCTCCTTGTGTGTACCTGTATTGTGTATTGACCTGCCCAAGTGTGTTATACATCTTTATGTTAAGTCTCATCCTACACCAGTCCTTCCAAATCCACAAATTGTTCATATGCACCCATGTGCTTGGTTGATCTTCCTTTCTTTTCTTTGAATCCATTCTAGCTCTCTGTCATGGGGGAGCGTGACCGGGCCATCCCTCCCTCCTCCCGCGGAATGCTTTCTCCTCTGTATGAAGTCATCCTCTAGGCGGTGCCTCTGCTGTCACTTTTTCTTCTTTCCCACAATTCAGATAAAAATCACCTACGCCATAGCCTGATTTCCCTTTTTAAGTGGGGAAGCTTTTTTCTTAAAGAGAAATTTCTATCGAACATCAATCAGTAACTCTAACAATATGCTGTTATGAAAACATTTTGGAAATGCTGCCTAAATCTTTGCTATCTACATTTCAATACACAGAAGGAAATGTCCTCTCTTTGAGATTTTAAGTAAAAAGAATAATGAATGATTTCCACCACCACCACCACCCCCTTGTAGCAGGGAGGATGACTTGGTACGTGCATACTTTCTACTTTTGAATGCAGATGGCATTTTAGGTCAATTACTTTACTCGGCTTCCAGGTGGTTTCCTAGATGAGACAGAGTTCACTTATGGTTTTCAAGCCTTGATGCAGTACCGTATGTTTATTTTTAAAGCTATTTGTTTTGTTTTTCTTTTTAGGAAAAAGAAGAAGTAGAGGGGATATCAGTAGGTGCTATCCTTTCTGACTATCAGCGTGTGCGAGTGGAAAATGTGTAAGAGAACCCTAATATGTCTTGTGTTTTCCGTACAAAAATTTCTTTAAAATGTGAATCAATGAAAAACAAATAATTGTATCCAGATAAAAGATAGGGCATTCTGTAAGTTCCATGGAAATAAATACATATGTTTACTAAGTAGCAAAAAATCCTCACATTGTATTTTTCCCCTGCTCTGATAGTATGCATGAGAGTCTCTTAACTCACTTCCTCCCAGGAAAAACAAGATTTTTATAATAAAAAATGAAATCAACACTTAAAAGAATAAAAAAATCTCTTAAATATTTTCTTCTTTAGTCAAGTACACCTTAATTGATCTCTGTTATTCCATCATCATTCATAGTAAAATAAGAAGCTAATAGAAAGCACTAATATTTAAAGGAAAAGGAAGTTTATTGAAGAAATTTATTTTTGGTTCTTAGAATTCAGATGTTGGCAAAAAGTATTCGTTAGTTTGAAATATATAGAGGGCCATTTGACTTTTAAGGAATTGTAAAATTGTTTTCCACCCTCTTCTCCTCATGGGATTTAGCATTAATAAACATTTTAATTTGTATATATAAAAATTGATAAAGTCCATTGAGCCAATCTAAAATCATAAGAACAAATAATAATAGTGATTATTTAATCTTGACCTAGAAAATACCAACTGAATTCTGTTTTTCACTTTATTCTGACAATTAAAATATATTTTCCACAAACTAACGAAAGTGAAACTAGACCCTAATATTAACCTGGAGAAGAGAGATAGATAATAGAGGTGACAATTGTATTTATATCATGGTGTAATGTTATTGGCAAAAAAGTTTCAATATTAACTATTTAATTAAAAATGTGTACTAATAGAATTTTAAGAAGTCTCGTTTTCATTATATTTATTTTCTGTCTAATTTCACAGTGGATTTAAGACAGTTGAAATGTAGGCTATTAAAACCAAATAAAAGGAAAGCAAGGTGTCACATAGTTAAGGAAGGAAACATAATCATCTTCGCATTTAGGATACACTGGAACCCCTGGAGGATGGTTGGTAGACGTGAGAGTGTAGCATGAGATCAAGCATATGTGTTTTTAAAAACCTTTCCTCATATCGCGCCTGCCTTCATTTGAGGACAGGAGATCTACGCTTGCAATGGCCTCTCTATCCCTAAACTATACTTTAGACATAATATTATTCTCAGCACGTTTTGCATGGTCATGAATTTTAGGTTGTATTCTCTGAAACTTGTTTAGGTTCTAACCCTATAGACTTGAATAACTTGAAACCTATGTGGCTTAATGAACAGCCAAACTGGAGACAGATCTGGCGTCTCCAGCTAGGAGGCGGTCTTAGATCTGTGTAGAAGAAGGACCCATGGCACAGATATGGACAGAGCAATGTTTCCTCAAAGTATACTCTAAACTTTGAGATGGCTAACGTTTAAACTACAGACTATGTATGCATTAATATTATCCTTGGGAAATTTCATAACATATTACTGGGAGTCAATTTGTCTACAAGCTCAGTTTTGAAGTAGCATCTCCCCAATGTGGAATTTTTGTGTCATCGTATTTTCAAAACATGAAGAGTTTAGTAGATACCACAAGTTCAAATGCAGCAGTGATTTATAGAGCAAGGTTATTCAAGTTTAAAAATCATTCATCTAAATATTTTGATGATAAGTGAATCTCAAAGAAAGATCCAAGAGTTTTACAATAGGAAGAAGAAGGAATAAAGTTTTGTTTTTATTTTTAAAAGTTAGTAATTGAAAAGGGAATGAGGATAGTGTAATTAGTTAGGCATCAAACATTGTTGTGAGGATAGCAAGAACTGTAGTATATATATTATATCAATGTGGTAATAACTTCTTATAGAAAAATTGATACCAGACTAGTCCTCAGAAATTGGAGATTAAAGATGTCCCAAATGCCCAACTTTTCCAAGATGCTATTCTACTTATTTCTGCTAATTCCTCCCTTGATTGTACTCCCTCACATCCCTGGGTTCTATGATTTACTGCAGTGCCTCACAGGAGCACAGAACTGTAAGGAATTGTCTCACATGATAGTGGGTGCTGTTAAACCTTAAATCTGAAAGTCAGGCAGAGGCAAGCCAAATGCCAGGTCCAGGGCAGATGCGAAAAATGTCCAGCGTCACAGCAGGTCTTCTTGCTTCTACCAACAGTCAGGGAATAGAGGTCTGGCTCTCCGGGTGATGTGTGTAGGAACTGCGCAGCGGCACCACTGTATATAGCCCATCCAAGGAAAGCATAGGATGGTGTCTTAGGTCACACCCTCTAGGAAAGTAGTCCTAAAGATGCCCCCAAGGTAAAAGAGCATGTGACAGGTCACAACCTCTCCTGAAAACAAACAAACTCACTGCCATTGTTTCGATTCTGACTCATGGCCACCCTATAGGACAGGGTAGGACTGCCCTTGTGGATTTCTGAGACCCTAACTCTTCATGGGAGTAGAAAGCTCCTGCGTTCTCTGATGGAGCGGCAGTGGTTTTGAAGTGCTGAATTGGTGGTTAGGAGTTGGGCTGTTAACCACAAGGCAGCCAGGACCCCTTGAGCCACCAAAGAGAGTCTAAAGATGCCACCAAGGAAGAAGAGGATGCAACGTGGTTCACCACTCTTTGAAAGTTAAGGCTTTATCCCACCCAGAACCTGTCTACTAGTATAGTAGAGAGCACCGTCCAAAATGACATTTGAGCCACCAGCAGAGTCCAGGTGTATAATATACGGCACCAGGAATTATGTCTAAGAGGGCCATATTAGTTGACTACAACTCAATGGGTGGTTTAAATTTTATTATCTTTCTAATTTTTTAATGTCTCAAGATTACACTACAGGATCTGGAACACACATAAGAAAATTATATAAAACACCCTATGCCATGAGGAAAGTTTTCGAGTAGGGGAGAGAGGCAGGTGAAGATTGAAAGAGAACTTAGGCAAGATTTACATGTAACCATTGCAAGCACTTTTACTTGGAGTAATAGGAACCACTAGTGAGTTCTGAGCAGAAGAATCCCACGAACACTTTACCTGTTTGAAAATGATCAAACTGGTTGCTGTGTTGACATTTTACAGGGCAGAGATGAATGCAGGGGGAAAAGTTAGGAGAGTATTGACTACAGAGATGGTGGGAACTGAGGCAGGGTGTTCAGTAGTGGTGTTGGTGAAATGGGATCGGCTTCTGCACTGGATATGAAATGTGAGGAAATGTAGAACCTGAAGGATGACTAGCCTGGTGGCTCAGTGGGTTAAGAATTAAGCAGTTAACTACAAGGTAGGCTGTTCAAATCCAGTAGCCACTCAGCATGAAAAGGATGAGGCTGTCTGCTCCCATAAAGATTTAGGGTCAAAAAAATAAAGATTTATAGCTTTAGAAAGCCTCTGGAGCAGTTCCATTCTGCCTATAGGATTGCTATGAGTCAGAATCAATTTAGTGGCAATGGGTTTGGTTTGGGGTTTTGATTGCTCTCTAATCTTTTAATATTCAAGAACTTTGATTGGAAAATATTTAATTGACTTGGAAACTGAAGTCAGAGGTTTACAACTTAAGTGACTTCCCAAAGCCATACAGCTAGTGGATAGCAGAACCAGACTGCAGAACCAGATTTGTTTCTGCTCAGAAGCCCATGTTCCTCCGCTGCAACAAGAGTCTGCAGTATCTAGTACAATCCCTGCAACATGACTGACATACAGTAAATTGTCTTTTGTTCTAATTATGTTCTCAAAACTGTCAAAGCTAGTAAAGAATAACTCATATGACCATAGATGTTATAAATCAAGAATGGGTGTATCTTATTAAAATAAATTAATTGGCCTATATGGTAATCACTTCACAGTTTTGATAAGCAAGAAAGTTCTAAAAATGTGAATAATCATTCTTTAGTATTCAGAAACTCTTTCCATACTTTCCTAAACTTAAAATCTTACTAAAATATTTCAAGAATCTTACTTATTTTTAATCTGTCTAGAGGTTTCATTTTTATCTGTTTATGCACATAGCCTGTGGGAATTAAATATGTTTATGTTGTATATATAAACTTCCTTATGCATAACATGTTTTCAAAAGTATTTTAAATGCTGCAGTCCTTGAGAGATGCATTATGTTTAAAATCAAAGTAATTGCTATGGGTCCACAATTAGAACATCAAGATATCATCTGGCTTCTCCTTTATATTTTATAGGTGTAAAAGACTTAATCTCCAGACTCTAGCCTACCTTTGGCAGAGAAACCAGAAAGATTTGCTCCGAGAGATGCTAGCATCTGACATTCAAGCGGTGATCATCAAAGTAGCAGCTCTGGGTAGGTGGCCAGAGCTTCAGTGGAGCGCTCTGTTAGCACATAAGCAATACCGGGTCACTAATAAGCAGTTACAGCTTTAAAATACAGAGATTTCAATACTATGGATCGTTGTAAGCTGAAGAAATTGAGTAAGCACCATGTGTAAAGAAGAGGGAGTTTAAACATGAGTTTTTGACCATTGACTAAGGAGCTAATTGTGAAACATTTATCCTTTTTATGTATATATGTTGGATATAATTGATACTAAAACTGACATTGTATCATTCACCTTTAACTGAAATTCTTTTACAAGATATGCAATTCAGGTTCATAGGAAACAAAATACAAAAAATGTTGGGGTTTTTTGTGGTGGGGAGGGGGGCCTACATGAAAATGCTGTTTGACAAAACACATGATATTTTCCTCTATTTTAATCTTATTTAGAATCACATTTAAATAAAAAGCCTGGTTTTGTTTGTGATTTCTGAAATAAAGAGATGACCCGGTATTTAAGGTAGATGATCAGAAAATCATGTGTGAGAGAATGTCAGCTGACAGTTAGCATGCATACAGCAGGCAGACGGTAATCTGATTCAAATGTGGACATTACATAGGAGCAAATTTAATTTGTTTTGAATTTTTATGATTATATTCCTTTTTGAGAAATCACAAGGTTTGAGCCCAATATATATATTTCATAAACCTATTACAGAAAATGCTCTGTAGTCTCAGGGTTCCAAAGTTTAAATTTTTTACCTAATTCAAGAGTGTTTACCTTTCCTGATCTCTGAAATAACCAGGTCTCCAGTTGTGGGAGACTATAGGTGCATTCCTGTTTGAAGACTTAAGGAATGCAGAGCCTGTGACAGTTTTCCTTGATGAACTTCTGACTACTCTCTTCTACACTAACTGAAGTGGAGGTGGAAACTTTAGGTGGGAAACCTTAGGGAATTTGCGGTTGATCTCCATAGCTGTTTTAAAAACTGAAATGGAGTTGTGTTTTCATATTTGAGGAAAAGTCACTAAGTACCTCATAGAAGAATTCTTGCAGCATATTTATCTGTCATAGGCACTTCTGTGGTACTCTGTAGAACATATTTTCTGTTTCTGACTCTCCTACTCTTGGTTTTTCTAAGATTACCATAGATACTCGAGTATAAGCTGACTGAATATCAGCCAAGGCACCTAATTTTACCACAAAAACGACATAAAAATGTGCTGAAAAACGAGACTTATATACGATTATATACGGTACATCAGTTTTTTTATAAATGTATATGATATCTTAATAGAAAAACATATACTACCCCTTTAAAATTGTCAGATAATGAAATGGGTTGAGACCTGAAAGACAATCTACCTTGTTAGAAATATAGAACCATCAAATTTAACCTGCCTTCCATATGTATAATAATGCATAATTGATATTGCATACCCATTATTTGTACATGTGAGTTCCTATGTGCCTCAGTGTACAGATTTAAGATGGTTAATAACTATATTAAAATTCTGAGTAAGTATAAACTGAATAAATTTTTCCTCAGTATCCAAAAGTATAGTTCAAATTTCAACATTTACAGTGCATAATTTCTATTGATTACCTATAAGTACACAAACATAAAGTAATTCTCAAGAATAATGTTTAAAACAGTTTTATTAATTGGCACTTTCTTTCTAAAATATAGAAATATAGGTGGAGCCTCAAAACGTTTGTGGGGGAAAAAAGCGCAACATCTTGTAATTTCATTTTTCCATGTACTTTTTGAAGTCCTTTCATATTTGCTGTCAAAATAGCGAAATTAAGACTTTTGATCATTAGAAAAAACATACAGGTCATTTAATAAAGAAAAGAAAATAGGTGGAATTTCCAGCAAGTAATTTAGAAACTTGACTAAGTTTGAGAAGATGGGAGAAGTCTTCAGGCACCATCTTAAGTCCCCAAAGCAAATTCATTGTGGGAGACAGATGACACTTAGGGTGTATGAAGACTTTGTTGTAGAGAAAATCAATGTAGACTAGGACTAAAGGGAGTGTGAGTGTGTGTGTGTGTGTGTGTGTGTGTTTATCAAGTAAATTCTGACTCAGGACAACCCCATGCATCCAGGTGTGTGTGTGTGTGTGTGTGTGTGTGTTTATCAAGTAAATTCTGACTCAGGACAGCCCCATGCATCCAGACTAGAACTCTGCCTTTTAAGGCGCCCCTCTGGGTGGGTTGATTCTTCTGCATATATAAATTGCCATGCATATTAGGTATGTATAGACTATGTTGTTCTTAATCCTTTCACAGGGATTATTTGCTAAGTCTGGCTCTTCATCTAGATTTGATAGCGATGCTAATTGGGAGACTTTGAAATGCTGAGCACCCTTCAATGGTAGTGTACAGTGAACCCTCGCCACTTCGCGGTTCGACTTCTGCGGCTTCACTCTATCGCGGTTTTTGCGTAACAGCGCATGCTCTGTCATTACTGCCACTGATTGGCTCATACTGTACACGCTTGATGCCATAAATAATAGAATAAATAATAAATGATAATTGTAACGTCCAAAATGTTTTACTGTATTTTCCCTTTTTCGTTTAATAAATTGCGTAATACGAGTGTAATGGTGACTAAAGGGTGTTTTTTCATATCCTCTATGCTCTAACTACGAAAATATTTGATTTACAAATAAGGATTCCTACTTCGCGTAATTTCATTTATCACGGTAGGGTCTAGAACCGATTAACCGCGATAAACGAGGGTTCACTGTATTATCATAATTAGTGTTCTCTATTTTACTTCTCTGGGCTCTAATATCCATTGCAATAGCTACACAGAACTCACAGACAACTTTTGTGATTAAAAGGCTTATTAGGGAAGTTGACAAGTCAGAATGCCAGTGAAAAATGCTCAGAGGAGGGTTGTTTATCAAGACATGGTACAGAGTTCTTCCAGGTTTGCTCATAAATGCCCCAAATGGCGTAGCACTCTGCTGTAAGCCCCAACCCAAAGGCATTCACCTCAAGTTCAATGGGTCGGCAACCCAGCTCTCTGAACTAAGTGATCGGAGGCACCCCACTCCGTAAGCCTCAGTACACAGGCACGCAGCTACACTTCCATGGGTCAGCAGAACCAGCTTTCAAGCTTAAGTGCCCAGAGGCACCCCACTCTGCAAGCCAACCCCCTGCACCAAAGCTCCCAGCTTTGCTTGTTCTACGAGATGGGTAGTCCACCACTCTGTCTATCCCATGGTCTGGCTCCTGGTTCTGCCACTGTGTCTCTGATATTATAGCTGTCTTCTCCATCCAGGGGGTTCATTTTGCAGGGATCTTGGGTCCAGAGGATGTGTTCCACTCCTGGCTTTTCCTGGTAATGAAATCTCTATTTCTCCTTCCCAGAGAACTAATTTTATTTGCAGCAGGAAGGCATTGCAAGGAATTCTGTTCACAATTACTAACACAGGTGAATCCTGTCAGTATCTTCTTCCACCTTGTTACCCGTGCAGGCAAAGATGGCTGGTGGGAGTTAGAGACTATCTAGAAGAGCCACATTAAATAATTCATGGACCCTGCAAGTATATTAAGCAATATAGAATGTCAAGTTGTCGATAAATGGTCACTCTTCAGCTTTTGACAGTTCTTTGTCGCTCATACATAAATCCATGAAGCTTAACAAGATATACTATCAAGGACTCCATACAAGATTGTTCTTCTAATTACTATAGCTGTACTTGATGTGAAGACTATACAGGAACTGCAAAAGTACAAGGGGAACTCATATCCCATTATAGCACTAGCTAACATGTTTTCAAATTCAATTTTGGAGTGCAGCCAGGCATAATTTATTTCACATGGGATGGAATATAATATACATAGCCTGTGTTGCTAGAGATTTACATTCATCATCATAATCCAGTGAGGTGAGACTTGAGTTTGAAGACATTAGGAGCAAGATAGTACATTTGATTGATGAAATCATGAGAATTGCCTCTTCCGAGGAAGAAACTCGGGAAGAGTTGAGGCCCATAGTTATTCAAATGAAAACTAGAAGCTAACTAAAGAATTCAGCCAAAATGCAAAGGCTAGCATAGTATTCGAAATTTCAGAGAATTATATAGGCTGGAACAACCTGGGGCATTCGATACTCTGTAAGAAATAAGGTCATCGCTTTCACACACTTCACCAATAAGCATGAAGCTTAGAATCTAACAAGACTTTGGAAATGTAGGCAAAACCAGATTCCTCAATGAGGAATCCTGCAGGTGCTTATTCAGAAAGGTCACCATAACGCAATTAGCGTGGAGACCTAAAACAAGTATTATAGGGTGTTAGTGAAGCAATTCTTAAGAGAAGGGAAACAATGGGGAGGGAGGGGAAAAAGAGAGAGGAGCTGATAGCAAGGGCTCAAGTAGAAAGAAAGTGTTTTGAAAAGTTTGATGGCAACACATATACAAATGTGCTTGACACAGTGGATGTATGGATTGTTATAAAAGCTGTAAGAGCCCCCAATAAAATAACTGAGTGTGTGTGTGTGTGTGTGTGTGTGTGTGAGAGAGAGAGAGAGAGAGAACAAATGGGGCCAGTGTATCCTAGTTAACTGCCTGGAAGTAATTTCCATACTACAGCACAAAGAGAGGGAATCAGTATTCAGGTAGTCTCAAAGAATTCAGGGGACAGAGATCAGAGTTTAGGGAAGCCAAGGGCCTAGGTAGAGTATGTGGTACAAAATACCAGAGAAGAGCAGGTGACTTGTTGTATTCTGGAGGACTGGAGGGTCATTGAGGGTTCCCTCCAGTGTTTGACTAAGTACTGATCTGCACACAGGTCAGAGGAAACTACCAGAGCTTGAGTATAGAGCCTTCAGAAAGAAGCAAGCTGAACAATTCCCAACGTGTAAATACAGAACTTGAGAAACTTTGTTTCCACCAGTGGATGTGCCTCATAATGCATGAGATAATGGGTAAAATTATCAAACAAAAACACCTTGGTAGGTAGGGGTCTTAAGTTAAAGGCTGTTCCGAATCTGACTAAAGAAACGCATAAG